TTATAATCTTATCTATCAGTCGAAAGGGGCATAGCAAACTATCGCTGTTTACAATTAAGTTAATCGGCCAAAATAGATATCCCCAGCTTGCGAATTCTGCCTTACTCAATTAAAACTAATCTAAAACTAATTTAAGTAAAAGGTATCACACGATTAGGGGCTAGGAGTATCTAAGGTGGACGAACAACATAACTTTTTACCGAAAAGCCGTTGTGGCGGTGAAATAGTGAAGTTTTAGTTGGGAGGGACTTTATATATCCCACTTCTGAGTCTTCTGCATCTGTTCCTCATATCTCCTTTTACACACACACAAAAAGCGAACTAACACGCGGGCCGGTGTAGTCTTCTTCTTATTGTTTACATCAGTAAAGGTTCCTTATGTGCGTAAAACTATGGCGTTTGCTATAAATAACTACTTACTGATTTCGTTATAGTAAGCCTGTTTTATTTTAATATTTCATATAATCGTGGATTGCATGGCTTTTGGATCTATGATGTCAGAAAGATCCACGGAAGACTAGCAGAAGTAAGGGTTTCCAGCCGGTTTCGCGTTTTATGATCATGGATGGACTGATATTTGGCCTTCTGGTGCAGCATGGGTTGTGTCCGACGTGGCATCAACTGCTGTTCGCTAGGCAGATAAACGATAATGTTAAGGTTTTTCGATTGTTCTAGCCGGGTTTTTGACATAACATTGGGCAGATCAGATCAGGGATGCCGTGGAGGCGAGGGCATTCCATATGATACTCGGTGTGCATTTCAACTCCATAATGGATGCAAAGATATATAAACCATCATGGCTGTATTTCCTCACTCTCTTGTGTCACCCAAATCAACAAAATCGAGTACCCATTTACAGATTACATAATGCAACTTTCTTTATTTTCAGACTTGCTAATGATGGCGAGTGCGCCTTTTCCAAACAAGTCCTGACTTTTATTGACTGCATAAAACAGAGAGGATATTGCAGTCCCCAGGTGACAATGCAGGGTGTAAGTTTTCTTTGCTTTTGTGGAAGGGACTTGGCGAGCACAGTGCCTTAGGAATATTCTTTACATTATTAATTTCTACTGGCCTCTACTGGTTTACTCCAAAAGTGTTGAGTACATCACTTTCAACCAAATATAATCGCCAACTGTTCACGTGTTCCAATATTTGCCGGATTCTATGTTCTAATCGGATAGAATGCTCAGTTTAGTTCTAAACACATGCAAATTATGTGAATTATTGTATTGCGTTGGAAGTCAGTTTTTTTGCTGACTTCGTGGTGACAAGAAGCCTAGATGCTGAATAACTGAAAATTTGCATTTAAGTCCACGTCAGTTAGTGAGAAACGAATGACAAAAGTTGACCGGTTCCATAGAACAGTAGAGGATTTGAGAAAATCGCTTCTGTACTTCCAGTGTATACTGACTTAGAGAGCCATGAAAAAAAACATGCTTGTCAAGCCTTAGCTAACCTAATTTTCATTGTGCTGATGACGAAAATAACTTTTAATGATTCTTGTGTTACTCCGTGAGGTGAAACTTCCCTATACCATACCCAAAGCATAACCATAGTTTACATGTGGAGAACTACGCTAGGCCCTTTATTTACTTCATTAATTTTTAACTTTGAATTTTTGCGGTCGTAAACTGAAAATAATAGCCCCCTCTGGGATGTCATTGTTACTATACCTTGCCAATAATTCCTTGCCGAGTCAGCTGATCCTAAGAGGCATTCGGCATTTGATCAATTTGGCGTCTGTGAGTGTTTGCATTGGCTGAGAAGTACAGGGTGTCATCTTGGTATCCATAAATTGCTGGGCTGAGTACATTCAAGATGGACATGCTCATTTTCTTGTTTGTTCTTTCTACCAATGAACTGTCAAACCCTTCACAATTATATGCGCACAAAAAGGCTATGTGCCTTCGTTTAACCAATGGTCCGCGATTTCGCACCACTTAGACGTCACCGCAAGCACCTTGACAGAAGTGTCTTAGTCCTGCAGATATTCCCATGTTCAACTTGAAAAGTCTATTCGGCAAAGCTATGTCTTCAGCAATTCAGCACCGGGCCGATACAATCGCAGGGATAATTAAAATCTTACAGTTGGACAGTGTTATAAAATAGCTTGTGATCACGACTAATCGTTATAATTCATCTTCTGTTCACCGGAATAAATTTGAAGATTTGCTGACGTTTCGGACAGCTGGGCCCGCTGTCCTTTGTCAAAGCGAATACTGACTTTTATTGATCAGCAGTTTAAAGTTGCGGCTGTAAGTGTTGGCCTTGGGCTGATCTATTTTTCTTCGTTCGCTGTCTGGCCTTGCGTGTGGAGTTTGGCTTGGCGTGACAACTATTCGTGGTCTGTTCTGTTCCCACGGTAGAAGATGCTGGTAATCCTGCTCCCTCTTCCGGTGGTTTCGTCACAGGGCCGTCTTCGTCT